TTTTGTTTCCTTACGCAGCGATACCACACCAGAAGGGTCCTTACTCTTGTATATTAGTCATTTGCACCGGGAACTCTTCACGTTGAATCAAAGATCAATACTCGAATGCGGAACGTGTTTTGATATATCCTTTTCTTCATTACTCTTTAAGTTTTAGTTGTGAGTCTTCTGGTGTTAAATTTTCCTTGCATCTCATTGACATATTTCTTCAATTCTATGTCCACAAATAATTGGTTTTTGTCCTTTTTTTTGTTTCAGCTGCTTCCAGAGTTGGATTTAGCTACACCAGAGGCCTCGGAACTTTCATCGGTAATTGTGCTGTTACCGGTGCATTTGGAGTTGCAGATGCTGATGTGCAGGGTGGAATGACCGGTGACCTCTCCTTCATGCAACCTGAATTTATTCAGATCAGTATGCACAGTTAGCACTGCAATATTTCCATAGGCTGCGGTTTTCAATGTTCCATTTTGGCTGAAGTAGGCGGATATTTTTGCTTCTTTACCGTTTTCATTCTCTCTAGCTTCTTATTCGCCCCGGCATTCTATTTCACAGCCAAGTATGGAGACAGGGCTGGATGATAATGATAACATCTTTCCTGGGTAACCAATGGTTATCTCAGTATTTGTGTCCTGCACTAAAAGGTTACAAGGTTTGTTTCCTTTATGATTGAACTATCAGTGTCTTTACAATAATTTCCAGAGTTCTATGGGCCACGACATTTACAAGGCTAAAATTACGGGTTAGGAGGCTTAATCTAAAACAATGTTATTTTAAGATTTTTTTTAAATAAAAAAATATTATTTAAAAAAATAATCAAACCAAATATTACTTGAGTTTTAACAAAATTGATTAGATCAAGGATTGATCAGCAGGGTCGATTGAGCTCGACAATCTCAACTTCCACATGGTTCGCATAGTTTGATATGAAACTTTAAAAGCTTTTGTCTAGATCTCGGTTATTGAATTACAGGTTTAAAAACATTGATAATTCTGGCATCCCTGTATACATTTATTTAAATAAATCTCATTTTGTTCATTCACAGGGACCGGAGCAAAATGCATTGGGAAATTAGCTTGTTCTGTTTCCTCTAGCTTGTATTTTTGCCGGGGTTAATTGTCGCTTATTGTCTATAATTAGGAGGAAAAGACGACGAATTTATATGAAGGAGATTCATGTTGTAATGAAAAAAATCTAACATTATTAATCCACTAAGCGTCTGTGTCAGCTTAATCCTTGGGCTGAATTTGAAGCTTTTAGCAATGGTGACCCAACAAATAGAAAGAGCTCAAGCTCTCCCATCAAACAAGTGAGAAAAGATTGTCCTTCTGCCACCAAATTTCCAATAATTTTCTCTTCATGCAATACTCACAAAATCCCATGCTAAAAAAAATTGTTGATACCATGAAAGCACCTTCCATGGATAGAAAGACTAGCACAAAAGGACAGGCACTCAACCACACGAAAACATGTGAATCCATGTCTCGAATCCATCGAAAAAACATAAAGTTATCAAACTTTCTATTCAAAACCTTTTTGATTAAATTTAATATTTTGATAAGGTGATGGATTTTATTTTTTAAAATATTTTTATTTAAAAATATATTAAAATAAATTTATTATTTGTTAAAATTTATTTTTAATATCAATGCATTAAAACATATCAATTATTTAAGATAAAAAAAATAAAAATAATTTTTAAACACAAAAACAAACCATCTTAATTTAAAATTATCTCCTACTCTTGCTTGTAATTGACAATAATAAACGACCAACATACTTAGTTCTGGGGAACTGGTTCCTCGATCACATTGTTGTTAATTGCTGTCATCGAAGCCGATTCCTTTGATTATGATTAATTAATCAAACTTCAATATTTAATTTTTCTTGTTAATAGTCCCTAGATATACCTTTTGTCTTGTGCTAAACAACATTAAATTTTTGAAATCTAGTCCGTTTGTCTACCTTTTAACTTGCTATGGATTTACTTACACCAACCATATCTAATTTTTCTTACATGAAGCATTAAAATTCATGAAATCTTGCAACTCAATTTTTTTTTTTAAACTATCTAGCAGGTGGCAATCAGATTGATACCAAAAATTTTACCTTTTATATGGTTTTAAGTTTTTCTATGTGGTTTGAAATTTCAGTTCTATATTTACTAATATGATAACCATATGAAGCTTATATTATATGATTATTAATTTTAAAATTTATAAAATTAATCAAAAATATATATAAATTAATCCAAACACTAATATTAATTAAAAAAATCTTAAACTTAATCTTATACGAGCTTGATGTGGATCGGATTTGGCAAAGAAAATAAAAGGCACAAGAAAAAATTATATATTGTTTTCTACCAAAGTGACAGCAATCTCTGAATAGTAAAGAGTTCCTCCTCGGCCAAGAGCTGAAATTTACAGAGTGAAAATAAGACAAAAATAAATAAACCCTAGTTGGCCTCCTAGTTTGACTACTAGCTTCACGTGATCGCCTTAAAACAAAATGTACCATGAAAAAAATTACAGGGACAAGGCAAAAAGTACACTAGCAAAGGCCAACCAGGCCAACCAGCCACTATCCAAACAAAGAAAGTACACTAGCAAAGGCCAACCAGCCACTATCCAAACAAAGAAACTAAAATCATGAGTGGCAAAACAAGGAAACGAAGACCAGACCATAATGATGACGATGAAGTTAGTCTTGAAGAAGATGATGACTGGGCCTTCCCGAACTGTAGCGAATCAACAGCCAATGGCATGTTTTCTTGATCAGGGCTACACTTAGATTTATGGACTGGTGGGTGTGTGCTATACATTATGGCTCTTAAAACAGCAGAAACTGTTGGGATGTATTCAGTTTTGTTTCTTGCAAGTAGCCATGTTAGACCCATTAGTTGGCAATCCCTTTCGAACATTTTGCTTGCCCTCTCATCCCTTGTGCTCTTGTCTTGTGTTTCATTCTTGGCCTTCAACTGTAATAACAATCACATTCAAGGTTGTTTTTAGTTATAAGAAAACAGTGTTCAAGATGGAATACCAAGGAGGAAAGGTGATGGATGTGCAAAGGAATCCCAGTGAAGAACCCAATTGTTTGCAATGTAAAATGGTTAGGTAAAGAGGGCACATGGAATTCGGTAGGTTATATTCCGAGGGCATGTTTGATTTCGAATGCTACATTATATTCCGAGGGCATGTTTGATTTCGAGTTTTGAAAAAAAAAAATATTTTTATTATATTAAAAATAAATTTTAAAAAATAAAAAATATAATTTTAACATATTTCTATATAAAAAACAATTTGAAAAGTAATGTGAAAATCAAAGGTCTACCATGTAAAGCTATTCTGAGTTTCACAGAACATCAAAAGGAAGACCCTGGAAAAAACCTACACTGCCCCACTTCACTTTCATGCTTCTATTTCTGCTATTTTTGGATGCTATTTTCACCAGGCAATGTGCATTAGTCAATACTTACCTAAAAGCCTAACTATTGCAAGCAGCATGATCTCCTATTTTGCTGTAGAGTATATAAAGTTCATCGAACCATCACAAGAAACGAAAACTAGCCCTTTGAAATTCCCTCAAAGTCTTATTAGTCCTTTTGCCAATAATTTGCACATGAACAAAATAAATTGTTACTCATACAACATCAAACAATTTCCCACATAAATTCTTGCATTAAATAGGTTTTTTTTTTTTACACAGAATAAAGAAACGAGTGGTGTATCTACAACAAATTAGCTGTATCAGCCCTTCAAAGTGTTGTAGATAAACCCCTCATTTGCAAAGTCAAACAAATCCAGGCAAAAAAAATCCTAAATTGTTGGATGAATTAACAATCAACAAGAAACCCAAAAAAAGAAGAAAAAGGTAGAATTAATTAAAAAAAAGAAACCCCGCAAAAAGCCCAGCATTGATTGTTGGTGGGAGAAACCACTTGTGGCACAAAAAGCCCAGCATTGATAAATGAAGTGATGTAAAAAAGAAGTCCTTAATAAATGAAGAAATCCCTCTCTTCATTTAAGAAACAATCACAAGGAGCAATAAATACAAAATTCCTTAAAAAACTGACCTTTTGGAGGGCACCAAGGCACTTTGTACACCCTGAATAAGTGGAATTCTTACAATTCTTCTCCAAATTCTTTACAGCAGCAGTAGGAGTTGCATTATGAAACGCGGAACTCACATTAAAAGCAGCAGGACAACTAAGTGAACTGATCTGATGAAGCCTAATCCCACAAAAACACAATATAGCATCACAACTAGCATTAGGCTGCGCCAACTTCACATTTTTACTCAGAAGTGCACTTTGTAATGAATTCACACATTTTTGTGAATCATCAGGCATCATCGGCAAATCAGGTGCTGATGTTGGGGCTGGAGCTTGGACTTGGAGGGCTGACCTTGCATGAGCTGCAAAGAGCCAAGCCGCAAGAACTGGACAGCACCGGCTACGGTCAAGGTCTCTACCACACGCATCATTTACACCACCAAAAAGCTCAGCTGAAAGGTCTAACTGGCAAATTTGAGACTCAGTTTGGACTGGAAATGCAGGGACTGTGTTGGGGTTTGAATAGTCTCCTGGTTTTAGAGGCTGGTTTTGGCCAGAGACCGGCTCAGATAGGAAGCTTGAAAGAGAGGGAGTGAATAAACAAGTAAAGAGGAATATTGTGAGTAAAGTTTGCATCTTTAGTGAAATCAAGAAGTGGGCTTAACTTTTTTCTTGGCTCTAGCTGTTAATGATGGTGTTAAGCAGGTAATGAGTGTGGAAAGATTTATGTGTGTGAAAGAAAGTTGAGAGATTTTGATTGGGAAATGGAGACGGGTTAAAGAAGTGATGGGGCTTTGAATCTTTAGCTTTTTAGAAGCTTTATCAAAGACCACAAAAAGAGAGCTCCTTTATATCTCTTGAAAATTATTAAACAAAAGAGGAAACCGCATATGCTATAGATTCAAGAGATGTTCAAAGAAGCAGTGGTTTTAGTGGATTTTGGTGATCTTCCTGTCTGTTTTACAATGGCTGAGAAGATGCAAATCTTGAAATCTAGAAGGAAAAGAACAAGGAAAAAAAAAGTGAGAAATTTGTGGAAGATGAGTTGGATGAAGAAGAAGTAGTCTCTCTATTGTTTCTCTCTTTACTTTCACTTTATATTTACGCAAAGAGATGACACATTATGGATTCATCATCCACGTGAGAAGGGGCAAAGATCTTTTCTTGGTACTGCTAAAAGAGGCTTCAACTTCACAGCAATCATCCATTATTGTATAGCAATTTTTTTATAGATGAGCTTTTAAGTCCTTTTCTTTTGATTATTGAGATGGAAAACAGAAGAGATTCACATGTTTATGAGAGAAGGAGGGGAGAGGAGAGTTTTGATACGAAATGGTGCCAGAGAAATTGGCAACTAGTGATGTCCTTCTCTTTTTCATTCCCGAACTTCCGCTGGCTATGAATGAAAGGATATGGTACATTTTGTCCTTATATTCTCCACTTTCTTTAATATAGCTCACCTCACAAATTGACTAAACCTATTAGTTTTTCTGTTAATTTGTTGTTTTGTATTATTCTTTAAAAAATCGTTGGAGTTTTTGAAAAAAAATTGTACCAAGTCTCGATCACCAGGAGATCAATTGGTTTTCTCGAGTCAATTAAATATCTAATTCAAGTTGAAACTTGACTTGATTTAGTGCTTGGATTAACGATTTTTTAGACGAACTTGTTGGATGGGATCGGGTTTTAGAATAGTAATCAATATACCAAATTAAAAACTTTCTTCAATGAAAAGACCAATTAAATTTAAATACAAAAAAAGAAGGAAAAACAAGAAAGGTGTTTTTAAGAAAAACCCAAGAACATAAAAACCAAATACACAGAAGATCAATTGATATGAAAATGCTGCATTGATACTCTTATGTTTTATAGGGATGTATAACCAACTTTTTGATGAAGATTTTGGTTTAATTTCGTGTAACTGAAATATTATATGTCCAAACGCCAATGTATTCTCAAATTTAATTATATTCCTTAAATTTCGATGTATTTTTCGTTATAAGAATAATTTAAATACTAAAATTAGTCGAAATTGGACTAGACTTTCAAACCATACTAAAGCTGTATGGAAAAATAATAATTAATTCAATACAATAACCTTTTAAATTAAAAAAAAAAGCTATTAACTTGACTTTGATTACAAATTAATCAAGTTTAAATCAATAGCTAATAAATATCTTGTATCTAATTTCATATTTATTTGCAATCGATGAAATTTAAAATCTTAGTTTTAATTTACTAATTATGGAGTTTTGGATTTTACCAATATCTTTCACTGCTAATTACTCTTGTTTCCGATTTTCAATCATTTTGCGGTTTTTGAAACCACCTAGGCAGAACCCAAACATCATTAAAATTTTACCCTCACATTTTTGGAACAAAAAGAACTATAGTACAAAGCAAATGATGCCCATGAACAGCCAAATTTAGACCTGGAAAAAGAAAAGACCTGACCTTTGAGAACTGGTCATCAAAATCAGCTCTAGCAAGGATAAAAATTAACAAATCTTTTGGATGATTCCATGAAAACAGAAACACTAGGGACCATTTTTCTTTTTTGTATCACATGGACATGACATGGTGTGGAAGTCAAATCATGTGGAGGGCCTTGTCATTTCTTGCATGCATGTGTACATGTGTCTGTCTCACTGAAAGGTCACAAGAAAACAGAACAAGATTGGAAATAAAGTAATAATTGTTCATTATTTTTCAATCCAATCACACTGCTTAGGATCCCTTTTTAATTACCAAGTGTGCCCTCAGGCAAAGAATGATTTTAAGAGAATTTCTTGAATTTATTTGTTTTTTCTATAATTTTGTAAGTCGAAAGAGTTCTTACATTTGATGGATAAATCATATAATTAAGTTGCAAGAAGTCTTATTTTTTTAATTAATTAAGGAGTCATAAAATTAAATAAATATCTAATATCACTTAACAATCAAATACCTTGAACCAACGTAATTAATTAACATATATGTTGAAATTGCAAATTTGTATGTTAAGCTCCCATATTTTACATAAAATATAATGTATAAATTATAATAAATTATTAATCATTTTTACATGTATAATAAATTAAAAAAAAATATAAATTATATTATAAGACTTTATTTAATAGTGTTTTTTAATGTAATATAAGAATTTTAATGATCAAGTATTTATAAATTTAAATTTTATTATTTTTATTTTTTGATAAAAATTAAATATAAAATAATATAAATTTATACAAGTTTCAAATTCAGATAATATAAATTATATTTTAAAATTTTATTTAATAATTTAAATTATTATATTAAGATGTTAAACCTAACAAATAAATTATCATAATACAATTTACCACCCCCCACCCGCCGTTTTGATCACATGATCTCCCTTTTATAATAAAATTATTGGTGCCCCATTTTAGTAGTGTGATCAAGGAGAAAAATGGTATGCATACAGACAAAGAAACGATCCTCGGACTCCACACCAACAAATGTAACAAGTGATAAATAATAAGTTTGAATTCTTTTAAGTATTAATTGATTCATTAAACATGAAATGCTCATACAAAATCACTATCATTAAGATTTGGTAACTATATAGACTATCATTTTATATCTAAAATCACACTAATTACTTTTGTTTTGTGTTATCAATTGCTCAAATAATGTTGCATTGACTTTAACATAGCTCGATGAAATACTACAAAAATAGTGTCGAAAACACCAAGTGAAAGGGGAGAAAACTAGTGAAAAAAGAGACTTGCAGTTTTGCTTTTTCAAGGAGGTAGGCGTAGAAAAGAAACGTTATTGAATAGAAATGAGAGGGGATCCTAGGCATTTGGCATTTCTATGCTGACCTCTTCTGAGTAGCAATTTCAGCTTGACTTGATCAAGTGGCTCTGCTTGATTAGCTGCCTCTCTAGGATAGGAGCCATGCCTGACAGCCCACGACAGAAAAATCAAAGTTTTCTTCAACAAAAAAATTGCTCCCAGGGTGAGAGAGAGAGAGAGAGAGATTTGTATAAGTTTTGTTTTATTCAGCAGTGAAAACAAATTTTGAGTTAATAATATAAATTATATTTTAAAAGATAATTTTTCAATTGTGATATAATTTTTTTGATATAAAATTATATTTTAATTAATTAAGCTCTCATAAATTTAAAAAATATATTAAAAAATAATATATATCATATTTTAAAACTTCTCTGATAAAAAAAAAATCTCTTCGTATTTATAACAATTGTTTTGAGAAAATTATTACAATCCACCACCATTGAAAATATGAGCTTGACAACTGCCAGCCAACATTCCCCATTTTCAAACTAATATATTTCTATATTCCTTGTATATTCCATCTCTACAAAGGACAAAATCCCCCCCATAAAAAGATTCTTTTTTTTTATCAGGACAAAACTTTCAATATAATTGAAAACTATATAATAAAAAATAATAGTTACGCAAGGAGATGATTATCTAGTAATCAAAAGACAAAATGTAAAGCGCCAATCAAGCAAGAATTATTCCACCATAAAGTTCCTTTACGAAAAGCTTCCAATCTCTACTCCCTATGATTTTTCTTGCCCTCTCCTTGTTTTTCTCTTTAGTTTTATTTCCTTCTTTGGGGTCTGGGCCCCTTAGTTTCAGTATTCGTGACAGGGAAAAAGAAAGGACTTACCTTTTGTTTTAGCCTTTGTCGAGAGATTCAAAAGTGAGAGATGGCCTTGTCGTAAGAAGAGCTTCGGTAATTGAGCTTGGAAAGAGGCAAGGGAAAAGTTAGAACCACGCTTCTGCAGACAAATATCTACCTGTTGGGCTATCAAGCATCGGCTGGCACTTTGGATCTTACCACAACGACATCATGTGGTTACCTAGTCACACTGGAAAAACTTCAAATAATTTTGGGCATTTTCATGATTGTTTAATGGTCTTTGAGGAGTTTTGTTTTTTAAATTGAGCTAGATCAATGGTTCTCATACTCCTACTCCTGTAAAACAATTCTTTTTTTATTAAAAAAAAATCCTATGGTGTTTATGCTATAAGAATATGGAGAGAAATGCAATATACAGAAGGAAGAAGAAGAAGAAAGAAATGCAGGAGAGTGATCTTGAATATTTATACATGCTAAATCACATGAATTTGCAAAGGGTAGGTATATTGCTTATCTTACTCTTAAGATCAGCAATACAAAAAATAATAATCTTTATCATGAATGACATAGCAACTAAACCATAAAGTTCCTTTACGAAAAGCTTCCAATCTCTACTCCCTATGATTTTTCTTGCCCTCTCCTTGTTTTTCTCTTTAGTTTTATTTCCTTCTTTGGGGTCTGGGCCCCTTAGTTTCAGTATTCGTGACAGGGAAAAAGAAAGGACTTACCTTTTGTTTTAGCCTTTGTCGAGAGATTCAAAAGTGAGAGATGGCCTTGTCGTAAGAAGAGCTTCGGTAATTGAGCTTGGAAAGAGGCAAGGGAAAAGTTAGAACCACGCTTCTCCAGACATTTATCTACCTGTTGGGCTATCAGGCATCGGCTGGCACTTTGGATCTTACTACAACGACATCATGTGGTTACCTAGTCACACTGGAAAAACTTCAAATAATTTTGGGCATTTTCATGATTGTTTAATGGTCTTTGATGAGTTTTTTTCTTTTTTTAAATTGAGCTGGATCAATGGTTCTCATACTCCTACTCTTGTAAAACAATTCTTTGTTTTTTAAAAAAATCCTGTGGTGTTTATGCTATAAAAATATGGAGAGAAATGCAATATACAGAAGAAGAAAAAGAAGAAGAAGAAGAAAGAAATGCAGGAGGGTGATCTTGAATATTTATACATGCTAAATCACATGAATTTGCATTGTAAAGGGTAGGTATATTGTTTATCTTACTCTTAAGATCATTAATACGAAAAATAATTATCTTTATCATGAATGACATAGCAACTAACCTATAAAAAGAATAATTAATGTTGGTATCCCGCTGTTAACTTGTGAAACATGTAATTAAATTACTTATAAAATGGGAAATTCATGTGGATGGTTGCGGCAGAGCAAACATGCCTAAAATCATTTGGTGTGCCATGAAGAACTGTTCAGAGCATGAGATCAATTTAGAGCTCAACTTGTTTTTCTCCTCGATTTTTCCCTTCTCCTACTTGGCCTTGCTTCGTTTTCTTCTCAATTTTATTTCTCCTCCTCCGACCAGCTGTTGATGGACTCGGTTTCGAGACCAACATTTTCTCCTCGAGCTCATTTTGGAATCCAAGTTTTTCTGCAGCACTGTCAGGATTAAAGTCTATGGTTGTATATCTTGCACAATT